ATCTCTTAAAACTTACCCTGTACAGATCATTGTTAGTCAAAGCAAAGGGTAAATTGGACACATACACTGTGCTTTTGCTTGGTGCCAACCCACCACTCATTTTTCTGATGAAAGCAAAAAGAGAGAAGAGTTAACCTGTATTGAACAAAGAAATAAATTAAAAAATAGTTTCAAGACTTTCAATTTTATTTCAAACCTAGCCCAGATAGCCATGATAAAGCTGCAGGAAAGCACAGCTTTCATTTCCTTTGCCTTCATGGACTACAGAAGACATACATTCCTTCCTCATCTTCTGGATCCAAACATATTTTTGTTCTATGTGAGGAGATTTGTTGTCAAGAAAAAACTGGCAAGTTAGTGTACTTACAATAAACCTCTCCTGATCTATGCAATTAGAAAGGTTGGGGGCCAAAAGAAACAAGCAATGTCCATTTATTAAACATTAAGGACAACATATCAAATTACTGACCTTTGTACCAGTACCAGAATGATCTGATTCTTTATGCAAGTATCAGCTCAGCTGCATTCAACATACAATAACATACACTTGGTTAAGGGGGGAAAAAAACCATGTTTCCCTAAAGCAGAGTCCTAATTATTGTGGGGAGGGCGATAAATACATTTTCAAGGCAATGTAGCATGATGCTAAAGTGGCAAGCTTTTATCTCCTCTCTTAACTATTGCTCAAGCTTCTGCACTCCTCTAGAACTGCAAGTGTCCAGAGCTGACCATAAAGAAGCAGCTCTGTAGAAGCACTCCCCTTCCTCCTTCTAACTAGGCAGATTTCTCCTGGTAGGAAACAGGAAAATTTCCAATCTTTCCATATTAATTTCCAGTCTTTTCTATGCTCTTGAAACTGAGTATGTCTGGAAACAATTAATCAATTAAAAATACTATTATAACCACATACACATCATCTAATACTAGGTGAAGAGTAATCAAACCAACTTGAAAATGACAAGCCAACGGTTTTCTTCACATTTGGACATTTCCCAAAATTTTTAGAGGTGTAAAGTCTGTGCAAAACATTCTCTTTGACGCATTCTGTAGCCATGGTTCAGACCAAGAGCTAAGTCAGTAAAATTTAAGATCAAAACATACCCCTTATGAAAGGCCACACCAAATAGTACAGCAAACCCACTCCCTACACAGTCCAATTTCTACCTCCTTGTCCATTTTCCTACAGCCTTATTGCTGCTTCCTGGCACCTCCAGCCAATTCCCAACTGAGGATCAAGCCACTTCTCCAGCAAGACTGCCTCATTTTAAAAATGCAGACAGAAGCTGAAGAAGGGATAAAAACCTTAAAGTATTAAAATCAGCATCTGCCATATTACAGTTTCTTAGGGGACTTCTTGGGTAGCCAGTCTGAACAGATTGCTTGGCCAAGTGCCAACAAAAGTAACTAATATCACACTCTAATCCGGGTGATACTTTCTGGCATTTCATGACTTAGTTATCTGAAGGACTGATATTCCCAGTAGACACTGACTGTCCAAGTGCTTTGCTTCTCTTTCCTTACATGCTTACTGTATCACAATTCATTGCAGTGGCAGTTTCCAAGTGATTCAATTTTGAGGTTTTTCATGTTCAGAGACTGTTTTCTGGCATGAGCGAAAATGGCAACATAAAGGTTAAGCAAATGAAAACAGAATAAATTTGCAATAAAGGCCACACAATGCATCTGCTGTTAGGCAGACTGGGTTCATTATCCCAAATTCCTTTCTGCTTGGCATTAGTATCCTTGACAAGCCTAACCAGACTGACTTGGCAACATGCCATGTGAATGGATGGCCTGAAGTGCAGTTATCCAGATGTACAGTGGATAGAAGGATTCAGGAAGAACAATCTCAACACTGCACTGTGCTACATTGCCAGTGCTAATATATTGCAGCAGTGGACCAGAAAACACTGGAGGTGAACCTCAAGTATCTCAATACAACAATTTCACTCTGCCTAAAAGGCAAGAGAAGCTGGAGCACCTTGCAACATTAGGCAAAGCAGTCCCCATTTTAATGGGCAGGCACCAGGGAGAACAGCATGGCTGGAGAGCAGTCAGCCTGCATATTGCACAATGCCACAGTGCAAACCTCCACAGAGAAGGTGACATCATGCAGAGATTACTACTGGCCTAACAGCTCAGTTGTTTGGAAATTATTAATGAAAGCAGCCTACAGAATCACCATTTCCAGCTGCACACTGCTTTTTCCAGAAGCTGAAAGAGTTGTACCCTGACAGCACGGGCTGCCAGACAGCTCAGGTTGAATGTTGTTTCTACTCCCCTGGACAAATTTGGGCTTAACAGTTTTGCTGCTCCAACTGCCCAAATATTCTTAGCAATTTGTATTGTTTAGGACTGTTGTGCAAGTACTGCTTATTTTTAATGTCTGACTCACTATACAGACACAACTTTAATAAAAGAAGGAGTACAGCAACTGTATGGTTATCACCATTTATTATAATGATGTTTTCTAGTCAGAGGAGTGAAAAAATGCCAGTTCCAGCTTTAGCTAAGTCACCAGATAAGACCTGTCATCTGGAGACTCATCATTACAAGGCTGAGAGTCCTGCTACTTCAGGAATTTTCTAATTTCATAGAAATGTCCAATATAAGTTTAAGATTTTCATCACGTTCTTTCTCTGTGATTACCAGTCTCTCCGCTCAGCTGACAAGAAAAAAAAATCCTCTCCCCTCACAAAAATCTCCAAATGAACCAAAAAACAACATGTCAGCTTTCTTCTTGCTGCAGGAGGCTCGACTGAAAGTCAGGTACACCCTGGCTTCAAGGCTATATCCCGCTAGAGCTTTTCAACAAATCAAAACATTTCTATTTTATCCTGGATGCCTTTCTGGGGCTTTCTTGATCTTCAAGGTATTACCTTCATTACTCAACTTTAAAGCATTGGCTAAAAGCCTTTACAATACCTCCACAGAACTGCACACAATTCCCATTAATGTAATGGCCTCTCTGTAATATTAATGCCTTCTTCATTTATCACTTTCACATACTAACTTTGACAATAGAGTTATGTCTCATTACAATGACTTCTTGAATTCAATCTTTTTTGTCTTTTCTAACAACTCAAACTAAAAGAAGCCATTTTTTGACAAGAGCCATCTGTCAGCAATGATTAAGTCTCCTGAAAAATAGGTCAGGTACACGAATACATTTTGCTTCGATCCAATATGCTTAATGCAGCATCTGTCATTAGTATTGGTGATATCACAGAAAGACAATGATTAATTTCAGTAATTGGCTTTTCTACTCTATCCCAGAACACATGAGGACACCACTAAAACAGCTCAGATGCCTCTGAATCATCAAGTGGAGCCTAAATTTACTTATACTTCCATGACTTAACTTTGATATTTCAACTTAAAAGCACAAACTTGTATGTTTGTTTTTAAGTGCAGTGCAGCAATGTCAGATCTACGATTTAATCAACTGAAGTATGTACGAATGATTTGTGAGCAAGTTTCCCAAGACACTCCTGCCCAGGCCAATTAGAGTGTTTCTATCTTGATCCTCAAAGTACAGTATTTTCTTCCTGATTTAATAGTCTCAATGGAGTTTAGACCCAAATCAACAAACCATTAGTTGTGGCAGGAGCTTGGCTCAGGCTAATAATCAAGTGTCTGGTAAAGGATGAAACCAAACTCACGTTCTCCTTGGTCCCTGACAAGGGTATCAACCACTCAACCACTTGCTGCAATTCTGCCCTGCACAAGGGGCATGGAACAGGCTGTAAGAGAATAATCTGTTTTATCTCATACTCACTTAAATAGTACCAAGCAAATATCAAATAGGATCAAGAGTTGGTAAATAAGATTAGCACTATCAGTAAAGAAAGAATACAATCAGCTCAAGCCAAAGAGGAACATAAAAAGGATCTGTGCTTTGAATCAAAACACTTCTACATACTGATCTAACTAAGAAAGCTTAGGGACAGTAAGACTGGGCAACCAGACCATCAGCCCAGACTATCTATCTATCAAACACTTGTAATTCATATATGTTCCTTTTCCAGATTACATATAGGTGTCACATCGACCTTGGCCAAAATCAGTAGAATTTTGTTCCAGACAGATATAATGATATGATTCCATTTCCATCCCCAGTATTAATCAGCATTTACTAAGACTTTACTGGGAATGAAGATGATACAGCAGTAACTGCTTCACTTGACAACAAATGTGCAATACCTACAGAAGTCAGGAGTGCTCTGGAGGCCTGGGCTGTCCTCCTTTGCCTCCACCTGGAGAGACCCAGGGCCCTCAGAAGTTCATCATTTCTATGCTACCATTTCCCCCACGCTCCAGAGGGAAAGCCCACAAAAGCTTTTCCAACAGTGTCTTTTTAAGGGGATTCTCAGCACAGCCAAGATGGGAGAAGAGTTGCTTGGTTCAATCGCATCTGGTGTCACCCAGAGGTTCACCGAGGCGGGGCAGATCTGGGTAACTCACTTCGTGACACCCATTCCTCCTCAAACCAGGAGACTCGTCATCTATTTCAGAGTTCAGCGCGAGCAAAGCGACATTAAAGCAACAGAACCACAGACTGCAGGAACTTCCACACGCTGTATTAACACCTTGGGCCACAACATCACAGCGCGGCCCCGAACAGCCAATTATTTCGCCCTTCCTAATTCCGCAAAGGCCCGAAGCGAGCGAGCCGTGACCGAGCGTTCGCGACCCCCCGGTGCCCCGGCCCCGCGTACCCGTCACGGCGGGGCTCAGCCCGCGCGGGAGCCCATCGTGCGAGCGGCCCGGCGAGGCGCAGCTGCGGTCCCGGCGGGGCGGGATGGCCCGGGGCGGGACGGCCCGGGACGGCCCGGAACAGCCCGGAACACACGGCTCGCTCCCTCCCTGCCTGCCTGCCGCCGCCCCGGCCCGTCGCGCTTCCGCCGACGCGCAGCTCCCGGCTCGGCCGCGGCCAATGGGCGGCGGCTCCGCGGCGGCGGGCGGGCTTTCCGCCGACGGCTCGGGAGCGCCGGAAGCGTCGGGGACGTGCGGAGCTGCCGCGGGGCTGCCGCGCAGCGGGAGCGGGAAACGAGGCAGCGGCAGGTGGGTGAGCGGCGGGGCCGGGCGCGGGGCCGAGCCGCGGGCCGGCCGCCTTCCTCCGCGGCACCAGCGGGCCCGGAGCCGCTCCTCTGGCCCGCGGCTGCGGTGGGACGCGCTCGGCTTCTTGCGGGGCGCCCCGGGGCCGCCTTCCTGCCCCCTCTGCGAGCACGTGCTCGTTGTGCGGAGCGCCCGCCCCGGGAAGCGGAGCCTCGAGGGACGGCCCGGGGAGCGCGTCCGTCCCTCCCGCGCCGCGGCGGCCCCAGCGCTGCGGAGCCCCCGCGGGTGCGCTCAGACGCGGCGGCGGGACCAGCGCTGGGCAGGACGGCCCCCTCTGGGCAGCGGCTGCTGGGTCAGCGCCCGAGGTGGCTCGTGTGCCTCATCATTTAATCCTCTTTGAAACCCATATGGGACACAGGACTCTGATTCTCGCTTTAATTTGTATATTTGTTTTGAAGGGAAGGCTCGTCCTCCTTGTACATACATCTGGGCGTAATTTTAAGCAATCATTCGTAGCGAGTGTATGGAGGCTACATAAATCTCATTGTAAATGCTTTCACTGATGTGTGTGGTGGGTATGTTGGTGCAGGATCTATGTCCTTATTGAGGGATAAGTAAGACATGAGTGTGTAACTCAGGTCATTTCCTAATAAGTACTAGAATAAGTCTTTCAGAATAAATCTACGTGATTAGTTTAACAATAGGGTATTCTGTTGTTAAACTAATATTTTAAGTCTTTACTAGTATTTAAGCATCTGAAGTCTACTCTTCATGGTTCTTTATTCTCACTCATACTCCTTAAGTAGGCTCTTTCCCCTCCATTAGGGTTTTCAAGGATAGTCTATAAATTCTTTATCTGTGACTTCAAGGAAGCAAAGGCAGAAGTAACAAAAAGATGTGGGAACCTGCACAACCAGTGAGGACAGTTTGATGCAGTGGTTTGCCCTATGTGAAGTGCTGTGGGTTGGTTGTTACTTTCAAGAGTAATTTTTGAGAGCATTGTGGTTTTGACTGGTTATGGCAGCAATATGGAAAGTTGCCGTATTTTGTTGTCAGGATGGAAAGCCATGGGAGCAGTGGGGTTCCATGCAGTTGTTTGCAGTGCCATTGCTGGTGGAGCAGCTACATCAGAGCCTGGTAGAATATGCTTTTCATGGCACTGGCACTGATGATGGGCAGGTCAGTAACTGCAGGTAGTCAGGCAAAGATAAGTGCTAATAGATATCAGTCATTTTATTAATAGAACCAATACATTGCTTCCATTGCTCTTGTCCCAGTGACATAATGATGTAGTAAGGAAGTGCAACTGGTGGGATTGTAAATCCTCATTGGAATGCTGCTGCTGTTATTATTTTCAGTTTATGCATGCTATTTTAAGTAAAAATCATTGTGAATGGGTTGAGAAAGGTTGGAAGAGAACCTCTTGGTATCTAGGTGAATATCCCTGGACTTGTTGCAGTCATACTTCTAAATGCTTTTGAAACTCTTACAGCCTAATATTTGCTATTAGGCAGAGACAGATTGTCTTTGAACCTCTGGTTTTTCTCAGTGCCTCTCTCATGTTATTTTATTTCCTGGTGTTTCCCTCTGCTCTCACACTTGTGCTTTTTAACTTTTTCAGTAGGACTGTGTCTATTCAGCGTGTTTTACCTGTCCCAAGTACAAGGGGAAGATGAGAAAGTAACTTTCTCCCCCAAACCCATTTTTATCTGCCTTGCCTTCTGTCTAGGTAAGAGATAGTGGCTTATCTTTGAGTCTAATTGTTGGGAGATACAACAATATTTTCTGTCTTTATATCCTCACAGCAGGAATCATTCCAAGTTTTATAGTGCTATTGCTAATAAGTTACATTTCTCCTACATCTTGTACAAAAGCGTTTGAGCTTTTTTGATAGCTTTCCAAAGTAGAGATGATAGACAAAATTGGCTCACATTTGTCAGTCTCTGCTGTTTATCAAAGTAACATTATAAAACCAGATATATCCCAGTGGCATGGGAGGCACTCCAGCTGCCTGTCTCTGCATTTGCTTTGTTCACATATGGCAAGATGTAGCCATCTGGATTAGGAGGCTGTATGTGTTGAAAACAAAAATGTAGATTCTGCAGAAGGATGATAGCACACACTAGAAAATTAAAAATCCTGGAGAAGCAGATACTTGTGGCCTTGATGAAAATTGATGTCTCAAGTAAGTGTAAGCAGACAAGAATTGTGTACAAATGTTTCAAAGTACTGGAGTGCTTTTGTAAATATATCAGGAAGGTGCAAAAAATCTGAAGAGACCTGTGTAGTCTGCCTGATGAAAAAAGCTATATTAGCATAGAGCAAAACATAGTGCTAATTGGAGTAAAGCCAATTTTGGTGGCTGGCTACAGTAGAGCAGCTTGTGACGTGTTCATAGAATGACCTCTGCACTTACAGAATGTGTTTATTTGAGAGAAGATGCTGCTTTAGGTAAAATAGTCACCTCTGATCAAAAACAGGAAGAGATTGTTTAATATGGCAAGTAATTATATATCATAATATTAAGCATCAGCTGTTTAGTTTTTTTTTTTGTTGTTGTATATGCTAGTAGAAGATAGTTAATCAGGATGAGTTATAGTGTTTGGCGTGAAACAAAACCAGGTTTCTCTCATTCTTTGTTTTACAACAACTTCATGCCTACTGAGAGAACAGATATGAATCTCAATACAGCATAATAAATTCGAGATTTGAGCTCTTGAGTCCTTGTTAATGGAATTTTCTGATATTGATGCTAAGAGTTTAAACTGTTCGTGGTTTTTATTAAAGCTGTGTTAGGTCACAGTTAAGAAATTGATTGTTTTCTTTTTCTATAGAAACAGATAAAAGGTGCTCAAGATGCTGGGAATTACATTTTCTTCCCTTCAAGCATTTTTTTCTTTTGATGTTTTCAAATAGATCCTTATTTTATCTCATTGTTCTCAGCTATAATTTGTCAGTTTTGTCTTCTGTATAAAATTGGTCTTCTACTTGTTTACCTTAGCATCATTTTAACCAATCTACTTGATGGTTGATTCTGCCTGATTAACTTTCTTCATTCCATACCTCTAAATGCAGATGAGATTTTTTTTTTCCACCTGCATAGTTGCTTGTTGTCTAGTGTATATTTTTTTGTCAGTCTGTTGACTTTTGTGATAATGTAGCTCTACCTTTTTCCAGCTTGTGTTTTTGTTGAAATACTGGTCTTAATTCTTGCTCATTTCAATGAGGTCTGTCAGTGATAAAAAAAGGGGAGTGTTTTTATCAGCTTGATTCCTGATAAAATAATGGGGTGTGTATGTGAGTGTTGGTGCCAGTGATGTGTGTTGGGATGTTGCAGGTGGTTTGACTGACAAAGCAGCATGAGATGTAAGTCTGCCCTCAGCTTCAGTAGCACTTTTCTGAGATATGTTGCTTTTTGAACATTATGTTAACAGTTTCAATAACTTCTGCAGGCAAAAGGACAGGGTCATTTATCTTGGATAAATACAGGTGTGTATTTATCCAAATGGAAAAAAAAAAAAAACAGCCTGCTTGGAAACCTCACCTGAATTCAGCTCCTGGTATTTTGCTATTTGTCTAAAAAACTGAGGGTTGCCATCAAGTACCTAAATCTCTGTTGGTGTGAGAGGTGGGTGGGCTGTGGATGAGCAGGGGCAGTGGGTGCTGTGGGCACTTGAGGTGCTTCCCAGCTGTGGTGAGTGCAGACGGAAGGAATGGCCCGCCCTGGGCAGGGCCTGGGCATGAGGGACCAGCAGTGAAGTGTTTTAGGTGATGCCTTTTCAGCATCAGGATTTTGCCTTGCCATAGCTAATTCTGCCCCTCCTGTACATAAAACCACAGAAATGTTCAAGTACTGTTCTGGGCACAAAGATAAGAACATGGTGGGGACAGCGAAGAGCACATAGAGCATCCTCCTGGTAATGTGGGAAGGAGGGCATGGGGTTGGCCTGAGAGCTGTTCATGCACATACAGCCCTGGTGTGCATTTGTAAGGCTCTAGAAAAGGTCAGTGAAGTACAAAATAAAGAAAAGTTGAGGCAGTTACTGTGAAAGTGCCAGGAAGGTGCTTGTGATGATGTAGCTGACCACCCAATGCAGCAGTATGAGCAGTGGTTTCAGAATTAGTAACTCTTATGTGGAGCTTACTGGAGAGGGCAGGGACAGTGGATCCTCTCGCTTTTGTCCTTACCAAAACTAGGATGAGCTGCTTGGTTTAGTCAGCTTTTGATTTATAACCTGTAGCTACATCAGACTAGTTCTGTGTCTTGGTTGTAGAACAAACTTAAGGTCAAGTCTGTTATAAAATGAGACTATAATTTTAAGAAGATAATCTGGTTTGTTTGAACCAATGCTAGGGTTCAATCTCTGAACATAGATGCATCTTGTAGTTGAGGAAAGAACTTAATTCACTGTCTTTTACCAGAAGAAAAAAGATCAAGCTTTTAATTAACTTCTCATCACATGCAACTGAATCTTATTTTTCTTTACAAAGACAGATCACAGTGTACAGGCAGTTAAAACATTTAGATTGTATCTGTCTGGTTTACTTAACAGAAAAAAATATACTTATGATGAATATATTTGTGTTTTTTGCTAACCTCAGTTTCTTTTTTTTGTAGGTAGGTGAATGGATCTTCAAAAGCAGAGTTGCTAAAACTGACAGAGAAGTAAGTATATGAGTGTTGTTATATCTTGCAAAAGTGTGTATCAGAATTAGTGCTATCTCTGTTCACAGTTTATTAATTCTTTTATGTTGATTCTTAGCATCTGTACTAATCAATAATTTTATATAGCTTCAAAGTCTATTTCCAGTAAAGTGTTTTTATTTTGTGCAAGTAGGTAACATGTATTTCTCCTTCTGAACATGACCTGCTGTTACTTTTCTGTATTGACTGTTTTTAACAGCTAGAGCTACTACTGTGAAGGGAAGGTTTGAAAAATATAATTCTAGCAGCTGCATATCTACTTTCAGTGTTGCATAGTAGATAATTTGTCACCTTTATAATCAGCAGAAAGATTTGAACTCCTCAAGTCTGTGTTGTCTAGCACAGCATGAGTAGAATCTCTTAGGACGATGGTTTATTTCCACTTGTCTTTAATGACTAACTCTGCTTCCAAAGTCCCTTTCCTCTGAAAAGAGGTATATTTTTTATTGTGCTGGCTCCCAATTTAAAACAGGAAGTATCTTCATGTGAAGAATGTATTGTATGCATGTAATCAAAATGTGGGGCTTTGTACTAAGAAATTATGTGCTGCATTTTGATCTCTTTCCAGACAGTTTAGTTGATGAAATAATTCAAAGTTATTATATTTTATTAAAAAGTAGAAATTATTTAATCTAATAAGTAGATGTTGAATTACTTTTAAAAAAGTTCCAGTATTTTTAGCAGAACACTATTAAAAGTGCTGTAAGGTATGTGTGTGCATTTGTCTGTACATCTAGTACTTGCAATATGCATATATTTCAATAGAGTGGTTTATAGTATCTCCAGTTCCTGTAATTTTACTGATTATACTGGACTAATTTCCAGTTCCATGTTCTTGCCCATACTGCAAGTTATTTTTGCTCCAAGTGCATTACATACTTTCCATGTTTTAAAGGGCCAATAACAAAAAGTGTATGTACAGAACTTGTGCATAATACATTGTATTGGGAGAAATCCTGGAACCTTTATTTTTCTGCTCACTGTCCTTTTGTCTATTCATAATGGGTCTGGTTTTCACTAATTGTATTTTCATTGTCTTAAGTGGCTTATAGAAGAGATGAAATGTGGTCGGAAGGGCGATACGACTATGAAAGAGTTCCAAGAGAACGTCTCCCTCCAAGGATTCATGGTGATGTAAGTGTGCAGCAAGCATTGTGTCTGCAGCATTATAACATTATACTCTACCTTTATACAATGACCTCTACCATAGGAGATGGATTTATCTACCTGTGTAAGTTCCAAGTATATCCCAAGCTCATTTTTTCCCCTGTTCCTTGAAGTCAGCAGTTTGGCACATGCATCTGCACAAAAATAATAGGCTGCCTACTGAATTAAGTATTAGTTTCTTTTTTAAAATTTTCAAATCTGTTGGAACTGTTTTCGAATATTTGTATTTGGGTGTAATTCTTCGTGTTATTAAGCACAGGATTTTTAATAACTTCTGGGGAACAAGAGCCCATACTAATGTTATATTTTTCCATAGTCTTTTTGTGGAGGGATAGAATGTAAGAGAATGGTGCAGAAGGTAGTCTCATACCTGAGGAGCTGCAGCTGCACTAATCACCAAAGATTAGGAACAGGCCTGCCCTTAACAGGCCACAGCTGTGTCCAGTAAGAAGATGAGTGCTACAAAAGGGTTAGCTGGTTGAAGAGAGAGTTGGAGTTGGTTGGTTGTGTTGTGAGGGGAGTTGGAGTTTGTTGGTTGTGCTGTGAAGGAGTCAGTGCTGTGAGGAGCTGCACATGAGGAATCACCAAGAAGGTATGGGAGCTTCACAATAAGATGACAGCATTTTTTTTATGTCAGTGTTTCTTTTAAGTAACTTGACGTGGTAAAGGAACTTCTTTCATGATTGTTCTTGTCACCAACAAAGTTTCTTTATAATGTTAAAAGTATAGGGGAAGATGTTTTTAACAAGTGTTGAAAGTACACCTGTACTTTCAAAGGAGTCCTGTAAAAGAAGCACTTTACAAGAAGAATGGCAACAGAAATCTGCTTTGTAGATACAGAGTCTTTTGTGGTGTGTTATGTATGTATGTATGGTATGTTTGTAAAAGCAAATGCAGAAGCTGTGCTATAGAATAAGTTCAGAATGCTTTTAGGAATTCTCTGTTCCACCGAGTTGGGCCATTTTTTTCCCTCCCTTGTCTGAAGTCTCCAATAAATAAATAAAACAGGTTGTGGCTTTGTCTTTGGAAGTATTACACCGTAAATAGAATTTTAAGAATACTTTCTGATATTTCTATTTGCATCCTGTGTAATGTGCTTTTGACAAAATTAAATTTCAGGTGCCAGTTCCTCTTATCTGACTTCCCTTTTACTTATAGCAGATGTTGAAGTAATACCATAGCCGATTTAGTGCATCTTCTGGGTTCCCTCTGTTTTGTTTTCAGCTTGTCTCTTTGGAGACTTTTGGTTACTCTATGTACTAATTACACAGGCTTCTCTATTTGGTAGTGTATCTGTTCTGTGACATTTTTGTTACTGTGACAGGCAACAGTAACATTTTTCGTTTTCAGCAAGCTGGAAATCACGTTGATTTCCACAGGGTGTTTAGCTACCTCTTTCTCCAAAATGCTTATCAAGAATAGGACAAGAGGAAAGGCAGAATGTATTTTCACACATGTTTTTTCAGTCGTTTGACTAATGCATGTCAAATTTAATTTAACCATTGTATCACTGACATTTCTAAATTCCCGTAATCTTTCTGGCTGTCCAGGGAGCAATGTGTGGTCAGGCATTATGAAAATTTATAGTCTAAAAGATTTGCATTTTGATGCAAGTGTTTACTAGGTAGTTCAATGCTAGCTTTATATTACATATGTTTGGAACTGGGGTTGAAGGCAGTAGCAGAGTACCCTCATCACAATGAATATTACCCATCTGTACCAAAACAACACCCCCAGTAGCTGGGCTAACCAAGATATGGTGTCTCTCTGCCATACTGAAAGATGGATATGGAGTTCCTTCTCATACAGCTCTGCAGATTCAAGATAGTTGGAAGGTACTTTCTGTCCTTGTAAGCCTGTGCTATTGTGTTTGTGTCCACATGTAGAAGTCTGACTTAATTTTGATTGGGCAAGTGAAATGGAATTAATTTGTTCAATCTGTTAATATGCTTAGTGTTTGCTGCTAGGTTAGTATGTTGGAAATAAGATGTGCCAATGATACAGAATGAAGTATCTTTTTTTTTTTAAGAAATCGAGAGATGTGTCCTCATCTAAACTGAGTTCTAATTGTGTATCAAGTATAGATTGTAGTGGAAACACAGTTACCGTAAAGAACGGGAAATTGCAAGCACTTGACGTAATTGTGCAAGTAGGGTACTCATGGAGTTTTCATGTGGCTGTTTTTCTATGTGCCAGGATAGTTGTGTAGTGGGGTCTTCTGGGTGAGCTTAAAGCATGGAGCAGTTTTATTTAAGCTGCCCAGCCGATCTTTGTAAGACACCAAACTAAAAAGAATAATTACATGTGGAGGATGTTCGATGAGGTAAGAGTAGATCAAACATTATGACTGTGTATATAGTCTCCACTTTGCACCTGTATGGCTGGCTTTAAACTGCCCTCTAGTCTGTTTGTTGTGTTTGTTGGGCGCTCTCTGAAATCAGAACTTTTTTTTCCTGCATGACAATATTTAGCAGTTTGTGAATACAATGTATGTTTCTGCAAAAACTATCTGAAATGATTAGATTCTGACTTCTTACTGTTAAAAAAAATAGCTTGAGTGTCTTCCCCCCCCACCCCTGCCAAATCCAAATTGCACATGCTAACTCAAGTGTCTGCATTAGTAGTTTTTGTTTAAGGCCCATTAAAAAAACTTTTTGCTAAAGGAAGAAGATTTAAAATACAAAATCTTGCATTCATGTTTTCATCCGCTTTTTATTTGCAGTTTAATTATATAAAACTTAGTTCTAGTAAGATTAAAGTTGTATCTTTTGCAGCTGTGCAATTTGTACCTAATAAACAAAGAATTTCTTTAGTTGACAAATGGTATATGACATGCTATTTGAAGGAAATAAATTTGTGTTCTAACAAAAATCTGCTTGAAATTTGCACTAAAAGAAAAACCAAGAGAGTTAAAATTCTGTCACTTGAATCTTCAGATGACCTACTGCATTGTATTCAGTGTGTGTTTATCTATTCAGGTTATGAAGCAAGATCTATCTTAAATACAGTCTCTGCAGTATGGAGGATGTTATGGACATAAGGAAAATTGTTAGTATTTTCAAATGACTGTTATTTTTTTGTAGACATTACAGGTGCAACTTTCTTTGTTGCATTCTAAAAATAATGGACAAATCTGAGGGATACATGTAGCTAACCAATGCTCAGAAAGTAGCTAATGCTACTGCTTATAAACTCTCAAAAGACAATTAAGCCATGTTTAAAATTTTCTCTCTATATGTAATGCCCAAGAATTGAATAGGAGTAGTGTCCAGTTAGATTTAATCAGTTATTCCACTGTCAGACTGGCATGATTTTTAATGTTTGCTGTTTCCTTGTGCAATTTCCTCTTTTAAGTCCCATATTTAGAAATAACTTAGTTCTACATTTGTTTGTGCGTTACGGATTTTCAGCTGTTAAAAGCAATATGATGTTGTTTGTTTTGTGGTCTAGGGTGATTACCACAGAATAGTAAACATTGTGCCCAAGAAGCCAGGCCTGCTGGAGAGACCTGGGGACGGGAGCTACAGTCGCTACGACGATTACGGTCACGCCGAGTACAGAGACTACAACGCGGGCCGCAGCTTCGCCCACGACCGAAGGAGTGGCCCTCCGCACCGAGGTGTACGTAAGGTGATTCTTCTCTCATGTTTGTTTTCCCATTAAGGCTTGAGTTGTAGGTAATTAAAATGCTGGAAAGGTCATTATTGTTGCCCCTGCAACCCAGCCATTTGAAATTCTGTAATTTCAGGGTGTTGATGGTAATTTATAGTTCCAAGACGAAAGTCTTCTTTAAGCATATATGCTTTGGAGACTTCCGTAGTTTGTGTTTTTATGGCATTGCAAAGTTGCTCTCTTCAATATTGACACAGGAAAAAGTAAAAAGTAAATGGATACAGTGAATAAATTGAGAAGATATTTATTGCAAGGAGTAATATTTTTTTTTAACTCATTAAATGCTTTGGTTTTGCAATAATTAAGTACCATTTGGCAATTAATTGTACTTGACATATGAGATACATGTCATGCAGTTGTTTTGCCTGTATGTTTTGCAGGATGAATCAGGATACAGATGGTCAAGGGATGATCACTCTACAAGACCTGAATACAGGTATTTTTTGATTCTAGTAGTGCCATCCACAGGCTGCAAATATTTAGGGCATTTTACTTGGTCACCAAAACAGCTGGTAGAGCAGACCAGTGAAATAACAGGGAAAGGACATCCGTTGAAGTGAAAGACAATAGTGGAAAAATGGGTTTTAGTTTTATTGTCTGAAATAGAAATTGAAGAAATTATATGACAGGAAAGTCTATAGTTTAATAAGGATAGGAGGCATCATGATAACATCATGAGGATGGTAACCTGTAAGTGTAAGTAATTTAATGCATCTCTGATGAGTCACACTTCTTACATGATTTCAGAGAATTCTTTGTTCTATTATTTGATTCTGCAGCTGCAGTACATTGGGGCTGCAGTATAATGATGCCTGTGCCATTTTAAAGGTTGGTAGGATAGATAATAGGATTATGAAGTTCACCACAGCTTTCTTCTGAGCTCCCTGTTTTCTCAGCTGAACTGATGAATATATATTTCCATCATATGTAATGTTAATTTCTATGAACCCTCCTTAGTCTGTACCTCAGGTTCCCATTTATGAAATCTAAGGACAAGTAGTAAATCATAGGGCTGTAATGTACATATGCCTGCAGTGATGTTTGATATGGTTTTTTTGAATTAGCAAAATAAAGTGCACAGGATAGTGTTACACTCAAAATTTATCGACAAGGATGAAAGTCACCTTAAATACTAAAAGAAGAATTGATTGTTAGTATAGGTGAAATATTAGCAGTCTGATCTAAGAATGTCATCTGATGGCTGTGCTTTTATATGCCACATCCTACATTTCCACTTCTTGAGACGTCTATTATACCAGCTTGTATTTGTGGATATTGCATCACGGTGTTAGTCATAATATCATAGAATAACTCCTTGTGACAACATATATTTAAAACTATGGGTATACCATACAAAGATCAACAGAAGTAAAGCAAATTAGCTAGAGACACCTGACCAGGTGGAAAAATTTCTGTGAAACCAGCAGCAAGTTAAAAAAAAAAAGACTGTAAGCAGGTCAGAAAAAGTTCAGACAGGGCAAGCCTTAGATTTGTGGTGTTGTAAACTCAGTATGATACTGTTAATAGCAATATCCATACAGGGACACACAGTTGCAGTAGATGTCTATTCCATTGAATAGGATGATTTAGACATAGCATGGATGGATTATTCTATCATCTCACCATAAAGGAAATCCTTCATATACCACAAGGGTCTTGGTGCAATAGACTTCTTTCAGAATTGCATTCTTGGGGCTAGAAGCAATAATAAAAGGTTTTGAACAGGAGTGCTTAATAAAATTTTGTGTAAAAGTTTTTCCATCTTTTCCTCTCAAGTTAGAAGAATCAGAGTTGTTGAAAGCTGAGGAAAAACACCAGAAAGGCTGAGAAGACTGAGTTAGTGTCAGGCAATTTATTGTACACAGAGCAAGAGTGGCACCCAGTGGTCAAAAAGTTTGTCTTAAATGCATCCTGATTTCTTCCTTTCAAAATACAGTTAAAAAAAGTGAGGTTAAAATGTCAGCTCATTTTGTTGAAGGCTTTATAAGTGTGTTGTGTGGAATATGATAGTCCCATCTGAATATGTATTATGTACTTCAGATTAAAGAGCTGTTACACAACTGCAATAATGCTATGGAAGAATTTCATAAAGGTCCATGATTCAAATATATTTGGAATTGAATGAAATCCTACTGATTCATTATATAAATATAGCAAATAGTCTTGAAAGTAAAGTCTTCTGATCAGACTGCAAAACATTTGTAGTATTCCATGTTTGTAATAAACTTAATTACAATTCTTTGCATATTGCCCACCATTGAGCAATGTAGTGGATCTCATGTAGTGGAAAGTACATTTCATGGTGTATGTTGTCTCCTGTGGTGAAAGTGCTAATTGCTTTCTATTTCAAAGACATTTGCTCCACAAAATATGGTATTAAAAATTTATTTTGTGCAAAAATGCCTTCTCTTTGGATATGCTTAAAGTTATTTTAGTTAAGTTCTTTGGAGTACACATAATTCTTTCTTTTTTTGAGGAGATAGGAGGAGTTTTAAGATGATTTTAACCAGAAGGATTTTTTAAAAAAATTGCATGGAGCATGGCTAAATCATAGTTAGAAGCTAGACAGTCAGAAGTCTTGTATTTAATGGGTTTTCATAGTTAGTACAGTGACTTTAAATTCTTAAAAATAATAGCTCATTTATTGACTGAGATAATAGCTTTCTTTTTTATTTTCAAAATTGCAATCAGCTGGAAGAAGTAGTTGTCAATATGATCACATTTCCCTTTGAGTATTCATCATTCACATGTTCCTGTTTTGGTTTTTGAAAACATACCTGTCAAAAGGTACCTTCTTATCTCTTACCCTTTGTATTTTTCTTCCCCCAGTCTTGATTTAGAGAGCTGAAAAACGTTAATTGGGGTTCTCCTGAAGTAAAATGCTGCTTATCTGCAATATCAAATGTCCTTAAGTGAGTCCTGTGTGCAGTTTTGAGCACCACAATGTGAGAAAAATATTGATCTTTTAGAAAGTGTCCAAAGGAGGGTAACAAAGATCATGAAGGGCTTTGAGGAGAAGCATTATGTGAGGCAGCTGAGGTCACTTGGTCTGTTCAGCCTGGGGAAGAGGAGACTGAAGGGAGGCCTCACTGCAGTTACAGCTTCCTCATGAGAAGAGGGGCAGACACTGGTCTCTGCTCTGTGGTGATGAGTGACAGCACTTGAGGGAATGGCCTGAAGCTGGGTCAGGGTAGGTTTGTGTTGGATATCAGGAAAAGGTTTTTCACCCAGAAGGTACTTGTGCCCTGGAACAGGCTCCCCAGGGAAGTGGTCACAGCACCAGCCTGACAGAGTGCAAATGTTGGACAGTGCTCTCAGGCACCATAGTGTGGCTCTTGGGGATGTCCTGTACAGGACCAGGAATTGGTCTTTAGTGATCCTTGTGGGTCCCTTCCAACTCCTTATGTTCTATTATTCTGTAATTCTCTTTGCTGTTGAAGAAACCAGCAGTTAGGGATTTTTTTCTATTTTTTTCCTATTGTTTTTTCAGTGATATTTTGTTGGGGTTTTTGTAAGCTTCTTGTATTTTTCTTAAAAGTAGGACATGCTTGCTTACTTAGCATTTGTAGAGCTGTGACTTCAGCTGTGATGTGTCTAATGACCAGCAGCAGTTCTCCATGAGTGAAACAGGATTGCAGAGGTTCTAGCACTTGGTCTACTGTCTTTTTTTTCTTGCCTTCCTCCTTATAGGGTTATGCTCCAGTTTCCAAGCAGCTGTCATTCACATGGTAGACATTATCATGTCTAGCACTGAGTGGAGCATTACTATTCCTTCCACATGCTTTGAGGGTTGTTAGCCCTGTTTTATGCTATGTTTAGTGAACAGCTGTCATCCTGACCATGACTTTTTTATGGTGAAGATACACATTTTATATGTAAAAAATAAAGGAATTCAGAGAATGTGTGGGGCATAGATTTTAAACTGAGTTCTCAGCTCTTTCTCTCCTGCTGTCACCTAAGGAATTCTGACCTCGTGAAACTGATGTGAATTTTGTTTTAGCTTGATTTCAAGTGCCTTTTGGTTCAAGTGTGGTTGGCACATACAAAGAATTGTACATCATAGTTTGGAGGAAACTTTCTGCACACATTAATGTTTTGGTTGCTGATGCTGTGAGAGTTGTGAGACTTAGCAATTCAAAGGAGTAGAGATCAATTAAGATGTGACTTCTTTGTACATTTATCTTCTACTGATGTTGATAATTTCTGGAGCTGTGTTAGTGCTTGTCCTCAGTGATATATTGGGCTCATTTATGCAAAGCACTCATGCATGTCAGATTTTTTAAAAAGTTGCAGGGAACCGTGCTGTTATATGTTGAAGGATTGTATTTTGCAGTACTTCCCTATGGGCCTCATGGCAATGGATTTTGCATACAAGTTCATTTTTATAAGGTCAGATGAACTTTTCAGTGTGAAATGCTTTGGGAGATTGTTAGCTGCTGTTCACTTTAGTCATGCCAAATTTTAATCCTTTTGAGTGCACAGAGCATTACTTCATTCTTTTTTTTTTTTACCAACCAAACTGAGTTTACAAGATGTGAAATATACGAAACTTGGCAAGTTAAGATGGGTAAGACTCATCTTCAAAGAGAAATTACAAAATGACGCACTTGTAAATCCCAGCTACACATGCATTAAATTTGATCCTTAGAATTATCTGAGGCCCAGATTTTTGTAAAATAAGGGTTGCCATATTTGTGGAATAAGTAAAAAATGGACTCCTGAGAAGCGGCTTACATAGGACATTTTAATATCCCCTCTTCAGCTGTAAATGTGAATAATTTTTCCTTTGCTAATGGAGGAAACTTGTTGCTACTATGCGTGTTGTTTTGTTTATTTCAGGTTAGATTTTTCTCCCATGTTCTAAGTGAAATTAGGAAGTATTTTAGTAGTCTAGTCTTTAATTCTAGTGCATTTGTCCATCAAAAACAGATCTGCTTATTTCCTGGAATGCTTAGGAAATGCTTTGTAATAGATGGAAATACTGAAGTAATTTTGGTGCTACAAATGAGAGAAAACTGTCTAGCAAAATATAGAAACTTAATTGTAAACAGTTTGTGGTCTGTGAACAGTTGAGATTCATCAGTCAGTTCTATGGTTTGTTTTGGAAGTGTTCTAAATCAATGGCTTATTGTCTTTTATTTGAAAAACAAAAGTGGTTTTCTGAACATTAAACTTGGAATTACCACTTTAGGGGGATAAGGTATAATATATCTTGGGTTTTCTAGATGCATGCACCTTCACAGTGAGAATGGGTTTACTGCAGGCCATGGAGTAAATTGGTTGCAAATTGGGGGTAGAAGCTCAGCAATCTTGGCTTTTTGATCTCTGCTTGAACTACCCTTGCATTTAGTGATTAACCCCTTGTCAGTGCACAAAGTGGTGACAGGAGGTTGTAGAGTTGTGGTCTGAAGATCGTACGTTGAGGAGAAAATTGTA